TTGTCCCCCCCCCCCAGTGTTCCCAGCATTCCTTTCCCCCCGTATATGAAGACCTGCAGCTCTGTCATATTACATTCTGTCATTAGTAATACAAAATGTGCACCATTCCAGACAGTGATGTGTAAATGCTTATAACCATTATTTATAGTAAGTTGTGCGTGTGGTTTTATCTTGATGGATTGTTCTGCTGCAAACTTAACGTCATTTCTGGTGTTTTTGCAGTGTGATAACTGCCGGACAGAACCTATCCAGGGTATCCGGTGGCATTGCCAGGACTGTCCTGCTCAAATGTCTGTGGACTTTTGTGACTCGTGCTCAGACTGGTGAGTGTGCCGGAAGCCAAGTATGCTTAACATAAACCTGTCACTAGGACATAAAGTTCATTCATTGGTAATAGCAGGCAGCTGATACATACTGAAATATCATCTTCTCAGGTAAATATTCTACTCCAGCTCTGGGGTTTGTATACGGTGGTTATAGCAGGTTTGGGGGCAGAATTCTGACAAGGCTGATTCCCAGTTCGTTTTAAATGGGTTATGCTGGGCTGAGTAAACAAGTTCCACCCTCAGGTTATGACTGATGTGAGAATAATTTCTAGGCGTCTATAGGGCATATATAAGAGCTCTGAGGGAACTTGAAATGCCTTCTCTACACTGCATTATACATCATACATCAGTGTGCTGAAGGACAGGAACCGCTCTGAGTGTAATCTGGTCCAGTGAAAGCTTAGTGCTTTGGTCTGTGTAGCTTCACTCTGTGGATCGTAGTATCTCTTCCAGCAGTTGTGTTACACAAGCATGGCTGCGGGTGCAGAGATGTACAGACACCAATCTAGAAACACATCACCTTCAATGTCAGAGAAATGTAAGAAAACATTTTTTTTTACCCGTGCTTGGTCATTTGCTTTTGAAGCCAAAGCATTTTGACAAAACATGACAGCCAGGCAGCTATCTTTTGCAGGGGTCAGAAGTGTGGTGCAGTCAATTTATTTCTCTGACAAGTGTCCTTTTAGTTTTGGATAGAGTGGAGAGGAATTAGGACATCTCTCAGGTCCTTATTGCCATCAGTGTCCCTGTTAGGGAGATTCATCCTCTCTATTTGTTCTGATGACCATTGAAAAAATTCCCAAATTTTGGGTTGTCACCAGAACAAGAATAGATGGGAAATCTTCCAATGGGGAACACTAGTTCTGGTGACTCCGCTAACCCCAAGGGATGTCCCTCTCGCTTTCTTCTGTGGTTATCGGACAGGACGTGAAGTGAAACGTCCCCACTGGGACACCATAGCTTAGCTCACTTTGCCAGACCGTTATGAGCTAAGCTCAGAAGCAATGGATTCTGGGATGCTTGAGAGGTTCTTCCCTGGCTTTGTCTAGACAGTTTAAACCAGAGGAGGCAGACAGGACATTTGATAAGTTCTCTGTGTTCAAAAAGAGATGGAGCAAAACCAAAAGCTTGCTTTTTTCAGGAGCTTGGTGTGCTTGTCCTTAAGGACCAAGACACTGATGCTTGTCTTTCAGTCAAGGACCAAAGCCTATTGTATAACATTTTGTAAAGGACAAAAAGGGCTTTAATTTGATGTGACATATGTCTAAAAAAAAAAAAGTTCTCATATAGAGGGAATGGTCCTTAAGGACCCATGGTGGAATGGGTCCTTATGGCACGGACAACCATGACGGAATAATCCCATAAAATCCTCCCGTCTTTATGAGGTTAAAGTTGTTTTTTGTTTTTTTTTAAAACTTCCAGCACACATACACTTTTTCTAGTTGCCTTCTGGCCCCTGGTCTTTCCTATTCCCCTCCAGTGGTGGTGGACGGCCTTCAGCACGGCAGAGAATAGCTCTGACATTATATCAGCTCCGTTCTTCCATGCACTGTACTGTGAGCCCAGACCAATGTAATGGCACTCCCCAGTTACTGTGTCCATTATGGTCTGTATTCACAGGAAGTGATGCCATGCACTTGTGCCCAGACTTTAGACAGCACACCATTTGCATATTCCTAACAAGCAGTAAAAGCTTTCATTGTGAAGTTATTCATTCTCTGAGACCCTTAAAGATCGCAGCAAACATTCTGAAGTCTATTTCCATTGGTTTCTTACAACTTGGAAACACCTGCTGCGTGTTTCTATCAGAGGGCTGGCAGGCTGCTCTCATAGGAAAGCACAGTGTCCCTGCGTCATTTCTCCCCAATGCCTATAGATACAGAGATGAATGAGGGCTTGCTTACAGTGTGCTTTGCTTCTTGCCCCTTAATGTGCATGATCTGGGCACAGGCTCCCTTGAAAGAAACCACAGGGACATGACCGGTGCGTTGAATAGTGATTTCCAACTTTTTTTTTTTTTGAACAGGAGGGGATATGATTTAAAAAAAATAAAAAGGTGAAGATGGGCTTGAAGTGAATTTCTGCCATCAGATATTTTAATTAAAATACAAATACATGCAGCTAAATTGTTGATTAGCCGTACATGGTTACAAACAACTCCTCCTAACATCATTGACCTGATTTCATTAGTTAACACCCAATATTCCTATGAAAAGATGTTTGCCATGAAAAATAACTCCTCTCAGCTTGGAGAAAATGGATTGTACATTCATACTGCATTGTTTGATCTCTAATATTGCCTGACGCATAACTGGTCCATACCTTGTCTTCCCTCCTTCCTCCCCTCCTCTCTTTCCACTTGTTTTTTCATCCTCCCCTTCCTCCTAACCTCCCTATAAATGTAAATTATATTGTGATATTCTCCATTGCAAAGCATACTGTATCCTGAATGTTAATTCTGACCGGTTGACGTTTTCCACACCTTTAAGTTGTTTGTTATATGCATTTTGTTATGTATGCTTCACTTGACTTCAATAAAGAAAGTAAAATACAAATACATGTTTTCATTTTATTCTTGCAGTTTGTACGAAACAGAAACCCACAAAGAGGATCACCACCTGGAGCCGGTGTACAAGGCAGAGACATTCCTAGATCGCGATTACTGCATGCCACACGGCACCAGTTACAATTACCTGGACCCGAACTATTTCCCAGCAAACAGATGACGTGACCCAGCCACGCAGCCGGCTGTGTAATCGTTTGCAGACACCAGGGGGCAGTAGAGCGGACCATGCAGTTGTCAGCAGACTTCCGGCTTCCTTCCGAGACTCTGCTCGCAGACAGCTCCCTCAGACTCCACTTCGCACCTACAGCAGTCCAACATTCCACTGGCGTCCGGGACAGACCTCCCTGGGGGGGCACGTCCGCTACAGGCCGCCAGTCAGTACCGGGGACTTCCGATTTATTTACAACCAACTCATGGCGCACGTTACAGCAACTCCTCATCTTTCCAAAGGCTTCCGACGAAAACAATAATCGGTCAAAACAAATGTGAACTATTTATATTAAAACTGGTTTACTAGCTTGCAGTTTTGTGAAATGTTATTTTTCTCCTTTTTTGCACAGAAACTGACGTTTTCAGAAGGTTTTAACCAATCACAGTGTTTGTTTAGAAGACGCTACTGTTTAAAAGACAATGGGGGGCAAAAAAAAAAGAGATGGCTTACCCACCTATGGATTAAACTCTGCTAGACTTTGAGCTGCTTTTAAAGACAAACAACTACAATCAAGCACTACAGATTCAGGTTTCTGTGGGGGCTTCTCCAACCAGCTCGCGGGGTGTGAGCGCGTGTGAATGTCGAGATTTTGAGATCTATTTTTTAAATGTAATGTTCTGATGATCATGTGACGTGTACACAAAATGGTGATACAGTGCCACTCGTAGTAACCGTGTCAAGTCTAACACTTCAAACTTTACTTAGGTCCTTCCTTCAGGAAAAGAAACAAAGAAAAACAAAACATTTAAAGGGTTAGTCCCTGCAGGACTGGTATTTTTAGTTTTGGGAGGATGCTGGTGGGTAAGACTCATCTGCTGGCTTGCCTGCTGTATGTCTCTGGCCTGCTTCCCTCGTTTTTATAATTTCATATCTGCTGGTGCATTCCTATAGAATCCAGCAAGGAGAGGGAGGCGTCGTCATGTCTGCTGTTGGTGGGCGGAGCTGGGAACCCCAGGGAAGGTGTTTTGAGGGTGGAGCTGTGAACTCGCATAAAGGTGACAACTCACAGGTTGATTGGAGAGGTGTTTAAGGTGTTCTCTTCTGCCAGTTAATTGTGAATACACTGTCACTGACTTTCTAGACTGCTGGCTGATGGACTCTTGACCAACTAAGATGGGAATGTGGTCATACGATAATTACATCAGTGTATGGATGTGGCTTCCATGCCAGACTATGCCACATGAGATGTTTAGTTTCCTCAAGTGCTGATCCCCCTTATCTTTTGGTTTGGATAGCTAGAATTGTAGTCCGACAGTTCATAGCGGAGTATATCAAATCAAATGGATCAGGAAAGTTGAATTGTCCTGTAATTTCCTTCATGGTCAGCCACATGGTCTCTGCCTAAAGGGAAGGACCGCTGTTCAGGCAGAGTTGGCCTGAACAGAGATGGCACTGATTGGCCATCTCTGCCCAAAGTTCTGTCTTACAACACCTTTTGGCATAGGTCCCATGATCAATGCCTAGGCCAGGGGTAGGCAATGTTTGGCACCCTAGCTAGATGAAACTACAAATTGCTTCATCCCCCTTGCCTCTGGGAGACATTCCTGTATCAGAGTCTTGCAATGCCTCTTGGGTCTTGTAGTTCCACAACAGCTGGAGTACCCCGGGCCTAGGCAGATGTCACCTGACTGGTAGCAGACGGCCAAGATTACAGAACAAACGTAAGCTGTTCTGAACATTATTAATCTGGCAGAATATGGTGATGTGAATCCTTTTATATCACCGTGCATGTCCACTGCAAGCTGACTGCACTCGTCTTACTTTTGCAATTTTTTTTGTTAATGGTTATCTCAGTGCGTGTTTTAACATTTTCATTGGTATGAGAGAGTAGTTGCCAAATAGTTCATTGGATGGGCCGGACAAGTTCTCGTTTTTCTCCAATTGGCCAATGGGGTGAACCTGACAAGTTCTCCTTTTGACCAATGGGGTGAACCTGACAAGTTCTCGTTTTCTCCGATTGGCCAATGGGGTGAACCGGACAAGTTTTCATTTTCTCCAATGGGGAGAACCTGAAATTCTAGTTTTCTAGAGTTGGACAGCACGTATGTATCACATTTGCAATGCCAATTTTCAGTTGTAATAGACGTGTATTTTTCCTTGATGGAATCGAGGGGTGGTTATTATTTGTTTGGGATCCCTTCATATAAAGATGTGACGGACCCGTGTATGGCAGTATCCTAAATGACAAGCAACTGAAAATTACGACTGAACCATCATGTGTCCCTTTAATGTTCGAGTTCTCCAAAGCTTAGACCAGTAGATGAATCGCCTCTCCGGCATCTGGTCAATCCAAATATTTGGTTTTGCCGGACTGACCCTTTAATGACGCGGCCTTCTGCTTCAAATGTTTTGGGAGGGAAGATTGATAAAAACCCACCAAAAAGACAAAAAAAAACAAACCAACTGCCTATTGTACATTCTATCTGTATTGTAATTTCTCTCTTTTTGTAGTCGCACAGAATCCATAAAAATGTATTTTTATTAATATTTAAGCAAGTGGTTACATAGATCTACACGGTGAGCTAGATATGGTCACGTGATCTTTTGTATATGGCATCCTTCTATAGCTGGACCCTCCGCCAGAGAGAGCAGGGCCGAGGGGCCAGGATGAACTCTCCGGCAGGGAAAGGATAGACATATTGTAATTTTTTTATTTTTTTTCTCCCCTCCCGTTCCCTTCTACATGTTAACAGTATGTTCTTAAATGAATTGTCAGGAGGACTTCAATAAAATGTGTGGGTACTATTTGTTTGTACTTAATGTTGTCATTTTTGGCCTCTTTTGACTTCTTTCATCCAGGTACAAAAAAATGAATCTGCCGCCAGCCAATGATCGAGGCAGCCGACCGATGTAATAAATACTCAACCAAAACAGGTCTTATATTTTTATTGAATGTGTATTGTCAGCAAAACCACCGTGACATCATAATGCATTTGTTCTATTTTACAATTGTTCTTGTGATCTGTTACAGCCTCCGTAAAGAAGATCCTCCAAGCAACACCCCCCCCCCCCCCCAAAAAAAACACTTCATATATGTATATCATCAAGTTATCAAAGCAGTTAAACTGGGCCGTGCCTATTTGTCTGCGAACCTTCCGATTTAATTCCTATCATGCCTTGCACCCATCGGCTGACATTTCAGAGCACACTGACAGTGGTAGATCTTAAAGAAAGAGGAAACTAAGAAGCAGCACTGACTGACACAAATTCCAAGCCGCAGCACTGACTCTCTCCTTTCATGTACTGGAGGTGGCTGGTGGTAAGGTCAGAGTCCAGGCAGGTTTGGAGGGTTGATGTTGCTACTTACAGGTATAAAATAAATGTGTTTTCAGGGTAAAGCCTCCATATTGTGCTTGGAGGAACTGGGAAGGCAAAGGGAGGGGAAAGCTGCAGCTGTGTTTTAAAGGTTTTTACTTGTTTGAATGGAGTTCCTCTTTAGAGAGAACCTGTTGCAAGAAAATATGATATGAATTGCCATTACTGAAAGGCTTTACATGCCATCAGCTTGTCAAACTCAGGGCTCATGCAGACTGGCTGTATTTGCTTCCTGGCAATGACGGACACTAGACATCGCAGAACCACCTGCATCCTAGCGCCCAAGGATGCTAGGTGTCAAGAAGCCGCCTGCATCCTAGCAACAAAGGACGCTGGACGCCAAGGAGCTGCCTGCATCCTAGCAACAAAGGACGTTAGGTGTCAAGGACCTGCCTGCATCCTAGGAGCAACAGATGCCAGGTGGCAAGCAACCACCTGCATCCAAGGACACGAGGTGTCAAGATGCTACCTGATTCCTAGCAACAAAGGATGCTGGGCGCCAAGGAACCACCTGCACTTTGGCAACAAAGGACGCTAGGCGGCTTGAGACTCATTTTGTTGCTAGGATGACGGTGGCTCCAGCAGAGTGCAATTGCACTGTACAGATGTATATGTTAGCACAAACGGATACAAGTAAAATATGGCCCATGGTCCAATATGGACGACCTCAGACTTGTTTTATTTAGATTTGAATGCAGCAAATGTTTACTGATCTCTAAGCACCTTTTGCATGGGCCCATCGAAAACAATACACCTGCATTCAGATCTGTACATAATAATGCTGTACTATACGCAGCATGGTTCTGGCCGCGTGCATGAGCCCTTAGGCCCCATCTCACCCAGGACTCCCAAACCAGGGATGGTGCGGCTTGCAAATACCTATTTTGCTTTACATTGGTCCTGTTGCATCCTTCTAGGCAGCACATTATGTTGCTCTGGTTCCTGCCTTGTATTATGGGATGCAGGGGGCGTGTCTGACCTATGACCCAGACTGAAATGAGTATTTGCATACGACATGCTTCACAAGCAATGGGAGTTTGTGTGCTGTTGCCTACCTATACCACATATTCTTTCAACAGGTTCATGTTAATGGAAACCAGTACTGAAAGATGTTTGGGGTAATGCCATTGCTGACCCTTTATAAAATGCTATTTGCCTGGTTGCTTCTGACTTCAATACTTTGAGTCAATGATCCAACACAATCATGCAGCAAGTGAATTCAAAGCTTCTTATTTGCATATCTGTTTCAGGTCTGTCACTCAAAGTACCAAAGCTGAAATGCAGGATGGAAACAACAACCAGGTAACCAACATTTTCATCAACGGCACCTCCATTTCTCAGGTTTCCAGCTGCATAGGAATCACAAGTCACAGCAGGACAGGAAAGGAACGTATAATTTGGTGAGTCACTAGATGTGTTCCTGTGTGCTGTGCAGGTTGGAAGCCGTGCTGGCATAGCTGTCCTACCATTGTCCCTTCCTGCTGACTTCACACATCATGTCTGACACGTCTTGGCTCGATCATGCAATTTGTACGCTGTGGTGTTTTATAGCAGAAGGTTGACAATACTCGCACTGCAATACCAAAGACCAAGAAAAGGGGATAGCAATGTAGAAACGCTTTATAAAAGGGTATCGTATCCGAGTAGGTTGCCATGGCTTGTGGACCATTAATGGCTCTTTGCAGGTTTTTGTCCCCTGAATCTGCTTTATTATCATTTCTAGAAGACCATGGACACAGATATGTGATGTATTTTCTCCACATAAAGGGTGTTTATTAGGTAGGAACTCAATTTAAACTGGTCTTGTACATCCCCCAGCATTTTTGCAGCAAACATACACTTGGGCTTCATTCACACCATTATGAATTAAAATTGCATGTATTTTACATTAGGAGCTTTTTTTATATCGTGTAACAGGTTTGCTTTATCCCCACCCCATCTGTTGATATCCAGTGCTGTATATCTCCCTTTTGGTAAAACAACCCGAAAGAAGTCTATGAGGGCTGCAATGGACAGGTGCAGCCAGCAGAGGGAGCATTGCAGCACTAGATGCAAACGAAAACTGAACTGTAGCCATCAGATCTCGGTAAGTATGGATCTGCAGAGGGTGTCCTCATTTAGGTCAGGGGTGGGGGGACAGAAAGGATAAGTGCACTTTGTTGACAGGTTGCCTTGCACTGTGTCATTCACTTTAAAGTGACATTCCAGTCACATCACATCACCCACCCACCCACTTTAGGACTTCCCTAAATGATACCTCTTGATCCGATCATCTTCTTTCCAGTAGTTTTCAGAAGTCCCTCCAGCGCTGGTGCCGGTCTCTGATCCAGTGCTGACTGCTGTGTCTTCCTGTCCCACGGAGTCTGTGCGCGTGAACACTGCCGGGCTGCCTGCATTGACTTACCCCGTGTCTCTCCCCGTCTCCCGGCCGAAGATCTCTACTGTGCCCCATGATCCTTCACGGCCGCCCGTGAATCTTCAAATCTTCAGACGGGAGCGAGCGACTGAGACACAGGTGAGTAATAACCTGTTTAGTAACTTTTTTTTAAATGTTTTTGCATATGTCTGCTGCTTGCTAGCAGTAGATACAGTGCTACCGCCGTTCACAAGCTTAATTCGTTCCACGATTTTGGTCGCATACCGAATCAAACTGCGATCTCGACTAGAGGAAGCCACGACCATGTGTCAGAGCGAGAAAATGGCTGCGGTTGTGTTCGTCACCTGATGCTGAGTTCGTGAACGGACGCAACATTTTGCAGAACTTCCTGTTTGCGAACAGAAGCGTTTGTGAACCGAGGTACCGCTGTATATGCAAAAATTAAAAAGAAGGCTTCATTCTATTATAAGTGCATCTGCAATGGAGACAGCCATATTGTAGGCTACTCTGCAGGCTGTTAAACACCATCGTTCCACTATAACTAGCAAAACCGGTCTTGTAAAGTAATACAGCCATAGAGCTTCTCTTGTCACCAATATCAATAGACACGCGGCTTGCCTTGAGCTGTACAAATCAATTATCAAAAGGAATTGTTCTGCTTCTCGTTTGATTCCGGGGTGGCCGCCCACCCAGCGCACTTTAGCAGCAGCGGTGGTTTGTGTTCCTATAATGTAGCAACACTCGGGTAATAAGTGATGGAGACTGTTGTCTCTCGCTCTCAGTCACTTAAGTGGGTATGTGTAAAGCTAATTGAAGGTAATAATGGGGCTCTAGCAGGATCTTCTAGGACTGCGTTAAGTGGCACCGGTTTATGTACGCCCACCTCTTCATCGGCTTCCAGCATATGACTCAACTCATTGGAGGGAGGGAGATTTTAAGGCGGTTTGCTGGATGGAAAAGGCACTATGATATTAAAATTGTCACTTTTTAAAATATCCACGTGCCACGTCTTGTTATCTGCCACTATGCTTCATATGGGTCATGGACAGAAGCTGCAAAAGGCACGGGGTCATGTGATCCGAGATAATACAGATAAAGGTAAGCATACATCTGTGAATGGTACAAGACCATAACCCAGCCAATGGGGGTGACATAGCGATAGCAATGAAGTCCAGTCAATAAAGAGCCATTGCTACTATACAGATGTGGAAGCAATGCTTTGTAAAGGGGCTGTCATATCCGTGATCTCTAGCAGTCTCATGTAACCTCTCTCTGTTCTATGACTCATAGAAGACTGAGGCCACCAGCTCTCCTCATTTAGGCTAAATGACGCTTGTGACATGTTTCATCAATAAAACAGCAAAATAATCCAATGCTTTCAGTGCTGGTGATCTCCGTCTTCTATGATTTTGGAAAACACGGCGCCATCCGTGTAATCACTACCAGCACCACGACTAATAATCAAGGTCCAATCACTGTACTGAGTACAGGCGACGCAGCACAATACTACATTATTGATTCTATGACTGCCTCCTGAAGCATGTACCCCATTCTTAAGCAACTTCTTTAAGCCCTGGTTCATACCTAGGCGGCACCTCTTCTGCGCGTTTGTACGCGCGTTAGCAGCATGCGGTTATTTGCGTGTTGTGCACATTTGTACATGAAGACACGCGTTTTGATTGGCAGCTCATAAACCATTGTGGGCAATGGAAGAATGCGCGTATAGTTATGCTTCTGTTCCTCGTTTTTGGGCATTTCCAATTAAGTCTATGGGGAGGAAAAGCGCTTTTAACTGCCCAAAGAAGCTCCTGTATCTTTTCAGGCGTCTGGCGTTTTCCTGCTCCGGTGTGAACCAGGGGCATTGAACATCACGGGATTTTTTGTGTTGGGCAGTTAAAAGCGCTTTTCGAACTGCTGGAAACTCCTAGGTGTGAACCAGGGCTAACACGTTTGGTCATGCATGTTCTCTGACCATCTCCTGTGGCTTGTCTGCAGTCTCTAGTTCTTGCTGCATGCTTTTAGTTTAGTGAAACTACAAATCCCATGATGCATCTCCCTCCTGGAGTCATGTCTGTGGCTGCGAGAATGTTGCAATGCCTCATGGGATTTGTAGTTCCACCACAGCTGGAGGACCAGTGTTTGGCTACCCCTGCTTTTAGTTACTGACCATCTCCTGTAGCATGGCTGCAGTCTCTTGTTTTTCAGTAGGTCGTAGTCTCTGGAAATCACCTATAATGTCTGCAGTCTCTAGTTCTTGCAGCATTCTTGTAGTCTCTGACCGTCTCCTGTGGCCTGGCTGCAGTCTCTAGTTCTTGCAGCATTCTTGTAGTCTCTGACCATCTCCTGTGGCCTGGCTGCAGTCTCTAGTTCTTGCAGCATGCTTGTAGTCTCTGACCTTCTCCTGTGGCCTGGCTGCAGTCTCTAGTTAATTTTTTACAGTATGCCCATAGCCTTTGAACATCTGCTGTTGCTTGTCTGCAGTATATGACAATTATCAGTGACATTACATTCACTAATTATTATTAGGGATGTTCAGATACCAGTGCAGATACTTGGCATTTTCATGACAACTACCAGGGTTGCAGCGGTCTCAGCTGGGACCTGGCTCTGGCGCTCCACCACTGTCCTGAAATCATTAGTCTGTATTGTTTTAGAAAAACTGTCTCATGACACTAAACAAAATGGTATCAGTATTTGTACTTGTAAGTACTCGGCAAGTACCAGTACTCGTAAAACTGGTATCTGTGCATCCCTTTATTTATAAAAACAAAATCATACATTAAAACAGAGATGTACAAATCCCAGGAGCTCCGTGTGCTCCTTACACATGATAGCTGCCTCTTAATTTTTGCATTTTTCTCTAGTGTAGTCTTGGAGCTGGAAAAGTATCTGTACTTGTCCCGAGTACGGTACTTGGTATTAGTGCATCCCTAATAATTATGTGTGGCCCTTTGGCAGGGGCTGCACTTGAGACTCCTTTATCAAGTAAGTTGACCTCCACAGCCTTAGAGGTTCAACAACCGATGGGATTGTTCCAGGCAACCTGTCATGAGTTGAATATATGCCACTATGTAGAGAAGATGGAGGATTGGGAAGATACCTAGACAATCAGCATTGTAAGAAAGGGTTCAGTAAACATTGCACATGGAAGGCGGGCACCATTGAGCATCTTGTCAAGTATTGGGCTCTAATGCTCTCCTGTGCTTATAATAGTCAAGCTCTACAGCATATGAAAAGATAGACATCCCAACTACACTCTTTTCTATCCCGGTATACAGATCTGTCAGTGCACTGCTTACCAATCCTCCACACAATGTAGGCGCAGTACACGGGCCGCGGATAACTACTAGGGTAAGGCTCCCCTGAGATGTTATGGGGACCCACTAGGTGGTTTGATCTGGGCAGACTTCCCTCCTCACCTAAAACACGGCCATGTGCGGGGGATAACACTCATCATCCTCGGTACACAGCTCTTTATAGAGCAGTAGTAGTATGATTAGTAGTATGATAGTAGAGTAATTAAATGTTATTACAGAGCGGCAAAAACCTGCAAAGTTGTAACTGACCTTTCTGTGTGACACAGCAGCTCTGGCACTCAGGGAGGCTCTGCTTGTTGGGGAAGGACAAGTCCCAGCATGGCTTGCCATACAGAGCGTGGACTTGCCGTTCCTCAGCAGCTGGAGGTCCTCGAGATGCTCAGGTCTGCTCTGTACTACAGAGGTCCCTGTTCTGGTGTTACAGTTCAGACAGCATGCAGTAGTGTGACGAGCATGGCGCCGACTCTTGCACCGGTGAATATAATATACAACATGTACACGCTTCTGTCTCTTCAATGGCACCGCTCCAGGGATCTTCTCAGAAAATTGAGTCGACTGATGTGCAGAGGTGAAGGAAAACCTGTTCGGGAGATCCCTCTGCGTTGATCTGGAAGACAAAAAAAAGAAAATGAGATTGATATAAATTCTTTTGAGATGATTATATATATATCACAGGGTTTCTAATACAAGAACACACTGATGAGATTTGCATTTATCTGAATCACCAAGCAGAAAAGCCAAAAGGGATCACCATGACAAATCTTCATGACCGGTTCCCTTTAAGGGCTTGTTCACACGATGTCTGGATTCTGTCGCTCCTGCACCCAAAATGTATCCCAATGTATCCCTATGTGTTTTATGGGCTACAGTTCTCACCAGCGTGGTCCGTGATGATGGAAATGTAACTTTAGCCTTAGGGCTTGTTCACACCATTTTCTGGCCCAGATCTGCAGACGCAGTGCTATGTGTGCAGTGCGTTTTTGACGCGTTTGTGCATTTCCGGACCGAAGAAAATGTAACATGCAGTATTTTTTCTGTCCGGCCCTGAACATAGCACTGCGTCTGCAGATCTGGGCCAGAAAACGGTGTGAACAAGCCCTAAGGCTAAAGTTACATTTCCATCATGGCCTCCATCTCTCCCTGTCATGTTTGTGTTCTTGTATGAATATGGGATTGATCTCGGGAATACCAGGGTTTGGAGGTGAGGCTGTGTGCACTGAGCCGTGTAATGACTCGCCACCCAGCTTCCTTATTAGCCGGGAAGCTGTCTCCATGCTCCATCGGCACCAGGGTAATGGCTCACTGCCCAGCTTCCTGATTGGCCGAGAAGCCGGCTCCATGCTCCATCATCACCAAGTGACGAGGGAGCATGAAGCCCGCTTCCCGGCCAATCAGGAAGCCGGGCAGCGTGTAATGACTCGCTGCCCGGCTTCCTG